GCTCCCCCTCCGAAAATCCCCCCCCCCCCCCCCCTGCTGGACCCCCCCCCTCCCCCGGCAAACCCCAACCCCTCCCCCCTCCCCCCCCGTCCCCCTCGAAAACCGGGGGGGGTCACTACTTCGAACCCCTCCCCCCTCGAAAACCGGAGGGGGTCACTACTGGTTCGAACCTCTCCCCACGACCCTACCACCGTCCGCACCACATCCCCCTGTTGTTCCCAGCACCACTGTCCTCACCACCACTGTCCCCACTGGTTCCACCACCTTCCCTACTGTCCCCACCAGTGCCCCCACCACTGTCGCACTGTCCCCACTGTCCCCACCACTGTTCCCACCACGGTTCCACTCTCCCCACTTTCTCCACGGCCCCAACGACTGCCCGACTATCCCCACTGTCTCCACTGTCCCACTGACTCCTCCGCTTTCCCACTGAGCTGTCCCACTGTTCCCACCACTGTCCCCACTGTCCCTACCACCGTCCCCACTGTACCTCTGTCCCATTGTCTCATTGTCCCACCGCCGTCCTCGCCACCGCCTTCACCACTGTCCCCACCACCACAGTACCCTCCACTGTCCCACTTTTTCCACCACGTTCCCACTGTCCCCACACCATCTTCCCCACCACCACCGTCCCCACCACTGTCCAACGGTCCCCACTGTTCCCACCATTGTCCTCACCACTGTCCCCACCACTACCGTCCCCACCACTGTCCCACTGTCCCCACCACTGTCCCGCTGTCCCCTCACCACTGTCCCCACCACCACCGTCCCCACCACTGTCCGCACACCCCCCACCGGTTTTCGAGGGGGGGCGGGGGGGGGGGGTTCGAACCGGCAGTGACCCCCCCCAGTTTTCGGAGGGGGAGGGGGGGGGAGGGGGGTTCGAACCAGTAGTGACCCCCCCCGGTTTTCCGGAGGGGGGGTTTGAACCGGTAATTAGTGGCCCCCCCCGGGTTTCCGCCAGCAGCGGTAGAACACGCTCTTTCTTTTTTCTCAATCAAAGTGTGCCCCTCGACGCTCCCACCCTGTTTTTGGACAGGGAAAGTATTCCTGCTCAAACTGGGCCCCTGGCCCCCAGGTCACAACAACAACGGCTCCCGCCGGAGACTTCCTTACAATTTACTGAGGACCCCCGCTCCCGCCCGAGACGTCGATCGCATTTTATTCAGGAATCGCGCTCTCGCTGGGGACTTCCTTACAATTTATTCAGGAATCGCTCTCCCGGCGCTCTGGAGTCGCGCTCTTGCTGGAGACTTTCTCGCAACTTACTGAAGAATGGCCTTGCGTTGGAATTTCCTGCAATTTGCCCAAGCGCCGCGCTCCCGACACCCAGGCACCCAGGAGTCGTGTCCCCGCTGTCGCCCTTCGTGGCCTACTTCGTGCCCTTCGTGGCCCTGCTGTCGTTCTCTCTCTCTCGGTCTCGCTTTCGCTCGTCGTCGCCGTCGTCGTCGTCGTCGCCGTCTTCGACGTCGTCGTCGTCGTCGTCGTCGTCGTCGTCGTGGTCGGTTCCCTGTCCGTACCTCTTGGGGTCGGGTCGACGGTCCGCGGCCGCCCCGCCGATCAGCGCTGCCGCTGGCCAGGCCGACGGTCCGCGGCCGCCCCGGCCCGGCCTGCAGGGAAGAAAAGTATACCCCCCACGAGGGGTTCGATCGAAGACGAAGAGGGCGGGTATCGAGGGTTTGGGAAATACGCGTTATTGGTCACTCGAGCATATGAGGGCGAACAGTCTTAAACTTATTATTGTTGTTGTTGTTGCTGCTGCTGCTGTTGTTGTTGTTGTTGTGTCTTGTTGTTGTTGTTGTTGTTGTTGTTGTTGTTGTTGTTGTTGAATATTATTACTTCTAAAGAATAATTATTGTTGGGCCCCCTGGTGCACGCCCCCCCCGCCGCGCCTAGGCCGCAGCTACATTTTCATCATTTTCGTGAGGAAGCCTCAGGTAAAACGATGTGATCCAGATCCGGTTGTTTTGTTGTAATCCGTTTTCCCTTGCAAAAAACACTATAAAATGACATTTCTTGTTCTAATATAATCAAATTTCAAGAATCCCTTGCAAAAATAAGGTAAAGTGGACATTCGCGCGCGCAAGACGAAATCCTTCCAAAAGCTTAGTGTTCGGAGCGATTTTAACATAAAAACATCAAAAAACCAATGGTTTTTCAACAAAAAAATGTCAAAATCTCATCCCGCGCGCTCTTGCGGATTCGTAGGAAACCCAACACTTTTTAAACATTTCTGTCAAACGGGCTTTTGCGAGCAACTTTTTCGAACTTCTGCGACAACGGTTGCGCACCTGCCAGGGCCATCATCCCTGTCAAATAATACCATGCGGGACACATTCGTTTTTTCTTCGCGCGCGCACGCCGAAATCTCCAAAAACCATTGGGCTTCTTAAGAATTTTAGCACCGCGCATCATAAAATCACACGAATCGCACCGTAGGTCCTCGAAAAACACCTGCACGACTTTTCAAAATTTCTACCCGCGCGCGCTGTCCTAACAACTTCTGTGGGTGTGTACTCCACGCCAGTGTAGTAGCCACGGTCGTCCGCAGGCCACGAAGTGAAGTGTCCGAACGTCATAGGGCGGGAAGCTGGGTGTGGGTGGTGGCGAAGAGTCGTGTGGATATTTGGTAGAGCTTGCACTGCCCCCCCACAAAGTGGGGGTATTGGCTGGCGTCGCATGAAAACCCTGGCACTGGTGAGAACACTGAGCGTTCGGGTAAAGTGATTGTTGTTGTTGTTGTTGTTGTTGTTGAATGTTTCGCCATAGCGGCCGTTACTGGCCCCGGCAGCCCTACTCCCCCCCAAGGTGACGTCACGAATCGTGCTGACCTCCGAGTCGGCGTGGCTATCCCTGGACATTTCTACACGGCGTCGGCGCGAAACGAGACGTTACCGGCCCCCCGACCCCCTCCCCGTGAACTATTAGGAGGAGGAGGAGGAGGAGGAAGAGGAGGAGGAGGATGAGGAGGAGGAGGGGGAGGAGGAGGAGGAGGAGGATCAGGAGGAGGAGGAGAAGGAGGAGGAGGAGGACTCTTGTTCCAGGGTGGGGATGGCGGGGGGGGGTCCAGCTCTCTCCGAAGTGTGCCCCCCCGCCCCCCCGTGGGGACCGTGTGGGGGGCAGGCCCGGAGCAGGCCGGGGGAGAGGCCAGCACGGGGCGTGAAAACGACCACAGCCGCTGCCTTTCTTTTGTTGCCGCCTTCCCGCCCGCAGGAACAGAGCAGTGGTCGTGCTCATTTTCGTTGGGCTCGGCACCAGGGAAAGGACCACAACCACTGCTTCTTTTGCGGCCGGCTGGAGGGCGGCTTGTTGCCGCCTTCCAGCCCGCAGAAACAGAGCAGTGGCTGTGCTCCAATTTCCGACGTTATCGCCCGGGATCAAAAGAACACGAACGTGTTCGGAAAACAAAAGCAAGGTTCTTAAAACATAAGCCCGAGGTGCTAAACCAAGACAGTCCCGACCAGAAATGTTCTAAGAACATTTCGTTGAGCTTGGCACCAGGGAAAGGACCACAGCCACTGCCTCTTTTGCGGCCGGCTGGAAGGCGGCGCAAAACAAGAAGCAGTGGCTGTGGTCATTTTCCCGTCCCGCAGCCAGCTCAGACGCGCGCAGGGGGGCCGGGGGCCCCCTGTTCTGCAGCCCTCGCTGCCCCCCCAAAGTATCGCCCCCCCTTACGCGCCCCCCCAACCCCCCCGACCCCCGACGTCGTGATTTTTTCACAGGGTCGACCCCCAAGAGGTCTGGACCCTCTGCCCGGGACCGGTTTTTCACCCCGAATCGTCTTCTGGCGGCCCCGGGGCCCAGGAGGGGTTCTGGAGGCCGGAGATAGCGGAGAACCTCCCGTTGCAGTTTGTTCCTGATCCCAGGTGGTCTGGATCTGCCAGGCTCTGAGGGGAAGGCGTGGGGGTCTGGGTTACTCGCCCCCCAGCCCCGGTAATGCCCGTTATAGGGAACCGAACTCTACACACCGACGCCTCTGTCTGGCCTCACACTGAATCTTGCACAGGAAAATGGGTCCTGGTGTATACGGGATCCTGGTGTATACACTCTTCGTTGTTTCCCCCGGAAAACGGGGACAACAAATGTAGACCACACCACCCCGACGTCGTCCCCGACCATCAAAAAACACCTGGGATTGAGGAACCGCCCGCCACTGGTAATGTATATGCTCCAGTTTCCGACGTTATCGCCCGGGATCAAAGGAACACGCACATGTTCTAAGAACAGAAGCAAGGTTCTTGAAACATAAACCCGAGGTGCTAAAACAAGACAGTCCCGACCAGAAATGTTCCAAGAACACTTCGTGGGCACCACAAGGAGGTCCTTAGAACACTGCTCGGTGGGACTATACAAGCGTGCCGGGACGCTTCGCCACTGCTTGACCGGCAATGCCCGTCATCGCCTGGGATCAAAGGAACGCCCTCCGCTCCCGAGCGGCGTGCACCCAGGAAAAACGGGGGAAAAGTATTCACCAGGAAAACTGAAGGGGCCCCAGGACACACAAATAAATACACACAAATAAAACGATCCCCCATATTTTCCCATATTTTCTTGGTTTTTGTCTTCCCCCCCACTTCCCATATTTTCTTACATTTCCTGGGGAATCGAAGATTATTAATTGTGTCTGTGTGTTTCTTTTCCTCCTGGAAAACGGGGAAAAAGTATACACCACACCACGCCGACGTCGTCCCCGACCCTCCAAAAAGTCCCGGGATTGACAAAGCCGCCCGCCACTGGTCATGTACATGCTCCAAGTCCCAAAAATCCGATGTCGTGATTTTTTCAATACCGGTTCCCCAGAAGGGTCGACCCATTCCCCAGGACTGCTGTTTCATCCTGAGTCGTTTCTTAACGGTCCCGGGGCCCGGTGAGGGCCCCCAAAGGCCGAAAACTGCGAAAAACGTCCGTCTTGATTTTGTTCAAGACGTTGGATCTCTGAGTCTCCGACGCTATCGCCCGGCATCAAAAGCACGCCCTCCGCTCCCGAGCGGCGGCGGCGCCTTGAAGTTGCGCATGGCGCGCAGCACCCGGCCGGTCGCCCCGGCGGCGGCCCCGCGCCAGGCCACGCCTGCGCGGGCCGGCGGCGGCGGCGGCGGGGGACTCCCCAGGCCTGCTCGCGCTGTTGTCGGCCTCCCGGCTTAGGTCGGGCATGTCCCTCTACGAGGGAGTTTTGGGCGACAAATGAGAAATAGTCCAAACGACCACCCCCCCTCCCGCCCCGGCCCCCAAGAGGCCCTAAAGAGGGCTCCAGGGCTGGCGGAATGAGCGAAGCGATTAAATAATAAATAGTCCAAACATAGTTTGTAACAAGTGACCAAAAATCTAACAAAAATTCCCCTCTTATTTTGTGACTGTTTTTGAATTCCTCCTGTAGAGGGACAGGCCCGACTCCACTCCAGGCCCGAGACCCTGGCGACTCCATTTGTCCGAGGCCGGGCGTTCTCGCTCCCTTACGGGCCCCGGAGCCGGCAGAAAACGACTCGGGACGGAAAGCTGGTCCTGGGGCAAGGGTCGGCACTTCCGGGGACGCCGTCCTGGAAAATCGGGGATCTTCTGACCCGGGTCAATCCAGACCCGGGTCAGCAGGAAACCAAAAACTGCAATGCAAGGGAACAAAAAAACTGCAACGCAGGTCTTCGCAAACCCGGATCAGCCAATAGGCGCGGCCGCCTCGCGGCCACGAGCGGCTCGCTGACCCGGGTCAGCCAGAGGGGGTCTTCGCAGGATCCTGCAGGATCCGGTGCCCAGGCTGACCCCCGTCTGCACCGACCCCCGCCTCGAGGCTCCCGAGGAAAAATCAGGACGTCGCACGTCGGCATCGGGGCGGCAGCAAACGACTCGGGACGACAAGCTGGTCCTGGGGCAAGGGTCGGGACTTCCGGGGACGCCGTCCTGGAAAATCAGGGCGTCGCACGTCGGCATCGGGGCGGCAGAGATCGGCTCGGATCGCAGGGCGCTGGGGCCCCGAGCACCTGGCGGCTCCATGTGGTTCGAGGCCCGAGGCCGGGCGCGTGCTCGCTCCACGTCGGGCCCCCGGGGCCCCTCGCAGACCGCTGCGGCTCGAGAGGAGGGGCGCCGGGAGGTGGGGCTCCTGGGGCTCCGGCCGTGGCTCCGTGCGATGTGGCGACTTTTTGGTGGCCGCGTCGGATCTCGCAGGGGCGGCCAAGCAAAGGGGGGAGCTCGGGGCCGTGATGGGTCCGACTTGGACGGTCCCTCTCCGGAAGGGGGCCGGGGGAATTATTCTCGATCAAACACGAGGTGAAGTCCAATTCGGCGTGAAAAACTGCGTTTCGCGCGTGCCCGCTCGAGGAAAGTCGACGGGGCCGCGTGGGGGCCCTCCAGGGAGCCCCTGGGACCGCTGCGGGGCTCTCTGGCGGCCCGAGGCCCGGGGCCCCATGCCCACCCGCCCATGAGACATATTGGGGGCTACATTGGGCGAGCACATCTATCAGAGTGGGGGGGCCGAACGGTCATTCACTGCCCCTGGGTGCGTAGCTGAAGTGGGGACCCTGGGTGAGGATTCTGCTTGTTCCCTTGTTGATGTTTGTTATCGTCGTCCCACCCGCGACGCACCTGGCGACACACCCCGCGACCCAGCCCGCGACCCAATCCGCGACCCAGCCCGCGACCCAGCCGCGACCCACCCGTGACCCAGCCCGCGACCCAGCCGCGACCCACCCGTGACCCACCCCGCGACCCACCCGCGACCCACCCGCGACCCACCCCGCGACCAACCCGCGACCCAGCCCGCGACCCATCCGCGATCGACCCGCGATCCACTTGCGACCCACCCGCGACCCAGCCTGCGACCCAGCCGCGACCCACACGCGACCCACCCGCGACCCAACAGCGACCCACCCGCGACCCAGCCGCGACCCAGCCTCGACCCATTTGCGACCCACCCGTGACCCACCCGCGACCTACCCAAACTGGTTTAACGAAAAAATTGGCGCCTGCGGCAGGCTCGTTGTATACTTTGTGAAAGTTTGGCACCTGCGGCGGGCTTCTCCAGAGTCTCGCAGACTGTCGGCGTCCCCACAGCCCCCTCACTCTCATCCGCATCTGCAGGGTGCTACGTTTGTATGTATACACTGTATACGCACATATCTACATATGCAGAAAGACAGAGAGAGACAACACAACGAAAGAGGTACATACATACATATATATATAGTATATATATATAGAGAGAGAGAGAGAGAGAGAGAGAAAAGAGAGAGAGAGAGAGAAACAAAACAAATAATCAAAAACAGGGAGTGAGAGAGAGAGAGAGAGAAAGACCAATGGTTTCTCTCTCTCTCTCTCTCTCTCTTTCGCCCTGCTATACGTGCATTCATGTGTACATATGTATACACATGCGAAGGTATGTGTATCTGTTGAGATATGGAAATCGATGTAAATAAATAGATCGATGGACGCCCCCACAATATCATACCTTTCGCTCCCTCTGCCACTCCTTCTTCCTCTTCCACTTCTGCTTCTTTTTCGTATTCTTCCTCCGTCTTTCTCTCTGCCATTGGACAACGCTGTGATTTCCAGCAATTCCAGCTTTTCCAACTTTCCCCAAGGACTACCTGATGAAAAAACTTTGTGCTTTCTTGCTTTTCCGTTTTTCTCCAGAGACTACCCGGTTCAAACCAGTGTGTATCAGCCTTTTCCAACCTTTCCTATGGAATTCCTCGTGAAAAGCGCTGTTTTGGTCCGGCTCTTCCAGCTGTTCCACCTTCCCCCGAACGCTGCACCATTAAACAAACGTATGTCTTCAGCTTTTCCATCTTTTCCAATTTTTCCTAAAAGAGTGCCCCATTGAAGAACGTTGTGCTTTCCAGCTTTCCTAGCTTTTCAATTTTTCCAACAAGGCAACCAGATGGACCACGCTGTGTGTTTTCAGCTTTCCATCTTTTCCCAGAGACTGCGCGGTGAAAAGCAATGGTTTTTTTCAAGCTTTTCAGCTTCCCCAGCTTTTCCCAAAGAGTACCCGATGAACACGTTGTGTTTTCCAGCTTTTCCAACTTTTCCCTGAGACTACCCTGCTTCGTAGCCTTCGGGGGAAATGGGAAAGGCTGGCAAAGCTGGCAAACCCAGCGTTGTTCAATCGGTGTTCACTGGGAAAATCTGAAAGCTAGCGAAACTTGAAAACCGAGCGAATTTCAATGGGGCACTGTCTGTTAAAAGCTGTTAAAACTGGGAAGACTGGAAAACACAACGTTTATCAATGGGGCAATCTCCGGGAAAAGGTGGAAAAGTTGGGAAAGCTGGAACACACAACGTGTTTCAATGGGTTGTCTTTGAAACAAGTTGGGGAAGCTGGAGAAGCTGGAAGCCACATCGTTTTTCAATGGGGACCCCCTGGGAAAAAAAAACTGGAAATTGTGGAAGACACGGCATCTTTCACGGGGGGATCTCGAGGGAAAAACTGGAGAGGCTAGAACAGCGGGAAACACAACGTGTTTCAATGGGGTACTCTCTGGGAAAAGCTGGAAAAGCTGGAGCAGCTAGAAAACACAGCGCTTTTCACCGCCGCGCGTTTTTGAGTCGCACGCCCCCTGTTCGCCTCCATCTTGCGCTGGTAGGCGAGCGTGCACTTCCTATGCGACCGTATGGCGGACCTTCCCTTGACGGCGCCGTGGCGCAGGGCGAGGAGAGATAGCGGAGCAAACCAAGAAGGAGGGAGGAGGAGGAGGATGAAGAAGAGATCGACGATGGAGCTGGAGAAAGTGTGAACAAGACTAATCGGAGACCTGAGCGAGGAGGCGGAGGCAGGAGGGAGGTGCGGAGGGATTAGAGGAGGACGAGAAGTAGGATAATGAGGAATGAGGCATGGCAATGATGAAGGGGGTAATGTGAGAAGCGGAAGGATTAGGATGAAGAACAAGATGATAAAGAGGACGACGCGGGAAACGGAATCGCGCACAAGCGAACAGGTATGATACTGGAGGGTGACACATTTACATACTACATACATATATTTGTATATATATATATACGTATACACATATGTACACATTTATGCACCGATAAGACTTACCAGCATCTAGCCATATCGTTTAGGGAAAGACATATTCATAACATTCTATATGCATTCATAGACACATATACTTATCGGTGTATTCAACTACCAGGCATGTAGATATGCATATGTCCATCTATCCACACATACATACATGCACATCTACATAACTGATTTCAAAGAGATAGAGAGACAAACGCAAAGAGCGGATGAACACAAGAGGAATAAAGAGAGGCACCAAACAAGAGCAGAGAAGGACGGTACAAGCAGACTCCCCTCCTCCCTCCCTCGCCCTCCCTCCTCCAGATCATCCTCCGCCCAGGCCCAGATCGTCCAGTGGCAGTGGCTGGGCAGAGACAGCCCCGCCTGTCTCAGCATCAGGGCGATCTGCCTCCACTCCTCCTCTTTCCCCCCTCCCTCCCTCCCTCCTCATCCTTCTCCCCCTCCTCCTCTTTCTCCTCCACGTCCTCCTCCTCCTCCTCCTCCTCCCCGTGGGGGCCGCCTGGAGAGCTCCGTGGAAGGCTCCCGCGGAGGTGACCAGCGACCGCAGGACCCTGGATGCCCCTGGAGAAATGGCCTCCCCAAAGCCCCCAGGCCCATCGATCCTTGATCCATCGACTACAGTCGAAGCGTTGACCTAAGGAACCCTAAATAAGGAACGGGGACCCTTTTTCCAGAAGTTCAACCTCGATTTCCCATCTAAAACCTCGGGAAAACCCGAGGCAAACTTTGCAACAATCGAGGAACACCGAGCCCCTCCGCAACGAACAGGGTTCCTTCCTCAGCGCCCCGACTGTATCGATCGGTCCTCAACCGACCCAGATATCCGACGACTTGCGTCTTGTAGGTCGCGGCGGCCTTTTCCTCACTTCGGCCACCGGGGCCCGTCAGCGGGCCCCGTGGCCGTCAAGAAACGGAGCCACAAAGACTGTCCCGCCGGGCAAGGGTTCCAGATCCTCGGGGCTGCGGGTTCAACAAGCATCACATCCTCAGGTGCCTGGGGACCGATGTCGACCGCCGACGGCGACGACGAGGGAGACGACTGCGACTTCCGTCCC